GCGGCAATGCTGCTTCCACCAAAGATATTTATCCGGTTGTCAGTGAACACTTCAAGAAGATTTGTGCCCGACAGCAGTGGAGAGTATAATTAATTTGTTATTCTTATTTTTTTGGGTTATGGTTGCTAATCACCCGTACATTCATGCAATGCAAGTACGAAAATTTGTTAGACCTATAGTCTACTTAAACGGTGACTAGACGCAAAGGGACGGTACGACCACCCTTTGTGAATCTGGAGTATTTTCTTTATGTAATAATTTACTCTTTTGGTTTAAATCTGTTTCAAATGCGATTAATGAAAATGGTAATAAAAATCAACGAAGGCAGTGAAATAGGTCACTCCTTTCCTCTTTGTTGAACCTTGCGATCATTGGGTTCCCGAGACCTATGCATCATCATTCGTCAGTGCATACTCAGAAAAGACGCAACAACGCACTGAGTTCGTTTTTTAAGTATCCTTACTTAGTCATTCAACCGTTCTTCAGATTGAAAATGCCCATATAATTATCTCAGTCAATCAGTGTTACTCTTGTAAACAGTAAACAATTATTGTCATTATCAAGCAGTTAACGGTATTAAATGTAAATCGTTAAAGTAGGCTACTCTAAGAGAAAGTAGTTAAATGTAAAGTTATGTAGTATTCGTTGAATTATTCACAACAGGGTCCACCGACTGCACGTATTGTCACTTACAACGAGCACTTCTTCAAACGCCGACGTTTGGACGTCTGGCGTTCCACCGGGTAGTCGTTCCTTCGTAATATCTGTACGATCCAGCTGTCCGCTGCGCCGCGGTCGTTCCCCTGCAATGTGTGTTCGGTGTGCCTGGCAGGCCATTGTTCGTAAGTAGTTGCGAGTGTCACACCGGGGGCGGGGGGGTATCAACTTGTAATACGTAAAGGTGCGCGTTAACCTCCTTCCTCCTTCGTCGAGCCAGCCCGCCGAAATCGATGACGAATAAGAATTCAAACTTATATGTCGGCCGTCTCGGGTGAGTTCGTATTCTGGATGAACTGCTTAAATATGGTGTCGTCTGGGGTCTGGTGACCGTGACGTGATGTATCTGGCTCTCTGCTGGAGTTGGCACACGTTTGCGGAGGTTCCAATGCATCATTACCACTGAACAAGATGGATGATGTTCGAAATTTGTATCTGCCGGGTTGTTTCTTCTGTGGAATGTTAATAAAACTTAATTAAGCTCTGTTGCACGGTTCTTTTCTGCTGAAGAGCCTTTCGAATACTTCTTCATTCGAGCTCGTGCACTACAACTTGCCTTCTTCTAATTCCCATCCTTTTCACGCGGTAGACGTGAGGATTCTGCTGTTTAGTGAATTTCTAAGGTCCATCCGAAGGCGTCGCTAATTTTCCCTCAACGGGCACTGACAGCCAAACGTATTCGCGTATTCGAAGAGTTCGGTTACAGCTTTCCGGTCATACCGTTCCCTTTGGCAACGTGGGCATCTTCCGAGCTTCTGCATCAAACGATGAATGTGGTCAAAGCGTCGATGTCTTTCACAGGTTCAGAAGCAAATTCTTCGTTGTTCGGAGGGAAGCCTATCTTACCTTAATTGTCAGGCGTGTTTCCCTGCCAAATATGACCATTGGTGGCGCGATGCCGGCGGGTTAATGAGCGTTTCTGTTGAAGGTCAGCGTAGCATTGGGTAGAAATTGATCCTAACACTTCCGATTCTCCGCTGCGATTGTTCCGAGACTATCCAAAGCGGTCGATTGAACCTTTCTACCAAGTCTGTGCATCGTGGATGGTATGGTG